AATTTTCTACATTTTTAACATTTTCTATATCAAGTATATATTACGTCTGTAATTGGAACAAACAATAAAGGCTACTTTAAAAATAATCCACATGCTTCTCTCTCTTACCGAGGAAAAATGCCTCCTGAGTTATTCAAACCAATTTTTCCGCTGCCAGCAAGGCCAGAGGGTCCCAGCTCCCTCCTGGGAGTGAACTGCAGCCCAGCGTGGGGGCTCGCAGACCCCAGCCCTCGCTCTCAGATGTGTCTGCACACTTTTACAAAGCAAGCTGACATAAAGACACACGAGGTGAAGGTGCAGGACATCTCTCCTAAGATGGCCTGACCGGAATCCCTTTGACCTCAGTGCCCTCTGCCCCCAAAGGCTTCTGAGGCCTGTCCCCAAGGTCCTGGGCTCCAGTAGGCCCTGCATTCTGAGAATCCAACTTGTCCAGGGTGAGAGCTGCCAGGTGGAGCGAGGCCAGAGTGTCCAGGCCATCTTGTGACCTCCCATGGGAACTAGATGCTGCCCACCAAGGCAGAGGCCTGCGACCAAAGCCACTGTCACCTAGTGTTGTTCTCTCTCCACTCGGGCACCAAACTCTCTTTCCCTGTGGCTCTCCTCTTCAGCCCTAACTCTGTCCGGGGCCACAGAATAAGACCCCTGTCCCTGCCCCTCCTGATGGATTTGTAGGTTTGCAGATGATGAATGAGCACGTCCCCAGTCGGAGCCTTTGCTTTTCCAGTTGACCCATCCCCAGTTACTCCAGCCATTCCTCAGATGGTCACTGAGGGTCTTCACCGTCCTACTTGCTCTCCTCTGAACACACTGCAAGGTCTGACCACGTAGCATAGAGCGAGACTCCAACCTCCTCATTCTGGACACTCAACATCTATTGATTGCAACTTAAATGGTGAGTTTCCCTGGAGACTCATCACACATTCCCTCCTGTGGAGCTTGCTCTCCACCAAACTTCCAGCCCAAGGTCGCACAGATTCTGTGGCACAGAGAAGTCCAGATGACCAAGTCAAGAGCCAGTTCCCAGATCAAGCTCCCTTGTGGGCTTGAATGTCCCCAGGGGGACAGTGTGACCTGCTGGGTGGGAAGCTACCATTGCACAAGAGTCAGGAGGACAGAATCGGCCTCTGTCTTTGTGCCCGAGTCACCATGTGATCCTGGTGAGACCCTGAGATTCTGTGGCCTCTATTTTCTCATCTCTAACATTGGGCATTAATCCATCCTGCCTTTGTAAGGACCAAAGCAGCCCTTGTACACACGTTCAGCGGTCTGCAGGATCCGTGTGGTTTCTGAGGGAGGGAGCTGATTCTAGAACGCAATAGCCATGGGCGCCTCCAAAGCCGGCTTCTTCCTAGAAGCCACTCCTTTCTTGAAGCCCCAGGCCCATCTCTTCTGGACCCCTCCAGCACTTTCTGCCTGACCACATAGCTCTTTAGTTTTCCGTTGGGTCCCTAGCTATTTCATATGTGAAAATCTTATCTTTCTAGTACATTATCAAATGGTTGGCTACTAATGACCCCTGTGCCCCAAGCTCTGTCTGGGGGACAGTGTCCCTTACTGGGAGTCGAGAAACGTTTCAGAAGGCTTTTGGAGGACATGAGCTCCTCTCTAAGGGTGATGGGGCAGTGTCCAATACAATTGTATGGTTACCCCACTCTGGAGGTGGGACTGCCATAGGCTACTGATGGGTCTGTCTAGGCGAGACCAGACCTGGCACCAGCTGACCCAGGAAATGGTCTGAGGGACCAGGACTTCGATGGAAGGGGTGCCAGAGGCTGAGGCTATTCAACTTCTAAGTGCCAGAACGGGCTGTGTTATCTCGAAGGTCTCTTCCAGGTCCAAAAGCATCAAGTTCCAGAATTGTAAGAACCCGGATCTTGAGAATCAGAGGACGGAGAATTCTAACTGCCGCGGATCCTAAGGTTCCGAGACATCGTTCTCAGGAACAGAATCCCTCGGCTGCCATCCTCCACAGAAATGCATAGTCCTTTCAAACCCAAGGGGGTCCTGCCTCCCCTTGACACAGGCAATCCAATACTTCTGCCCAGAAGCAGTGCACAGCAATCCTGTCACCAGGACACCAGGTTGAGTTCTCCAAATGGGAGGTGCTTCCCTGTCTGGCCCGCTTGTGTCCTCGTCACATTCAGCCATGTGTGCACAGGGAGCAGGGTGGGAATATACTGTGGGCCCTGCTGCCCCTGCCCACCTGCAGATCTACCACAGGGATGGGGGTGCAGGGAGGGGGCAGGTCCTTCTGAGGCACTGATGCCTGGCAGGAGGGCCTCCAGAGGGGCACTGAAAGAATGCATGTGGACTGGCCCTTGGGCCCTGCAACACTAACTGGGGGGCCCCCCCAACACACCCATGCATTTGGTTAGAAATCCCTAACACCACCAGTATCTCCGTTTCAGAGGTAGATTATGGTCCATGAGAGAGAGCCCGGGGCCTGGAGGTAGAAGGGACGCTGGTTTCTCGTCACGGCTTTGCTGATGACTGGCTCTGGGGCTTGCACACGTTCCCTCCTGTTGCTGGTCTCATTTCCTCACATCTAATCCTGGATGCCCAATCACATCAGGAACAGCTGAAACAGCTTTCGTCTTACACACCAACTCCAACAGCTCTGTTGTGGCTGCCTAGAGCACTGAGTTGAGAAGGATTCTGAAGTTCAGTCTAGGCTTAAAAAGCAAAGAAGTGCAGTGGTGTATCAGTAATGCCTGCCATTGGTGCAGGGGAGGAGAGGGCCAAGGTGTGCAGAGTTCAATGAGATGATGCGAGGGTGCTTTGGGTTACAGGTCTACATGACTCTGTAGATGCCTATGGTAGAGAGAAGATCCTGGCAGAGGTGAACGGGTCCAAGAAGAGTAGCTGATGGCACAAAAAATCCTTTGCTGAGTTTGGCTGGTGACTATGAGGCAGCTAGTGTGGACTGCCAGCCGAGAAGGCCTGGATGACCCAGTGAAGTGACTGCTCCTTCTCTAGGCTGGAGTGGAGGCCATAGACAATGAGCTGGATCCCTGCCCTGCATTTTGCTTCTGGTGTGGCTGTGGTGCTTGGCGGGAGAGGCTGCCTCCTGGCTGAGGCTTGGATCTGCAAGGCCGGGGCACTGGCTGGGCCTGGCCAAGCGCCCCCACAGCTGCCTGGAAGTAAGGGGTCCTCGGGACAGACACAGAGCCCAGCACACCCCATCCTGGAACACGGGGGAGACTTCCTCGCAGCCAGAGCAGTGGGATCAGGGTGAGTGTCTCGGCAGCCTGGGGAGGAGGCCCCCACGTGATGAGAGCCTCAGTTTCCCATCTGTGAGGCAGAGATCATACCAGCTGTCGACTTCTCAGGCTGGCAGGCATAGCTATGCCCTGCAGAAAGGCAGCGACTGAGGGGGTGAGCGGGGGCCTCACGCCCTGGAGCAGGGCCATGCCCACCTGGAGGAAGTGGTGTCTTCTTCTGATTTGCACAGATGTGCCTGTGGACTAGCGGCAGCTCTGGGGTCCATGTCAAGCAGGACCACTATCTTCACCACCACAATTACTCATGCTCTAACTGAGGCAGGTAGGCCCAGAGAGAGGGAGTCACTCCACAGGGCACCGGGAGGGCTTCATGGAGGAGGGAGAGTTTGAGCTGGGAGCAACGTGATTCCCTCCACAGCCCATGTCTGGCTGACTGACTTCCCCCAGAGGGGCCGCAGCCTACTCGTTGCTGCTGTCCTTCCCAGCAGGGCTGTTTTCTGTCCTATTTCTGTATTTTGGTTCCTGCTGACTCTTCTGTGACATAAACATAAATGACACAACAGACACACCATCTTCAGAGCTGAGGAAGCCAGCAGCTGGACCCTGCTGGGCAGGGAAGGTGGGCAGGGTGATGGTCACGTCCATCCCTGCCACATCCCGGGGCTCCATGGAGGCCTATCCAGGGCCCTGTGTCCTCTGGGTGGCCAGGAAGAGGTGAAGCCAGGAGGCGCCCCGGAGTAGACACCAAGAGCTTATAGCACGGCTACAACTGGATTTCTCACCTTACTTTTTAATCACTGGGAACTTCGTTCAAAGGCTTTCCTGTGTGGAACCCCAGAATAGAAAATGGAGGAAGGAGTGGCCCAGAGCTTCCCCCGGTCACCCCTTCAGGGCCCTGAAGCACTTCCACAAACCTGGGGCTCCTAGGGCACCAGGATTTGGAAAACTACTTACTGCTGGATGTGACCCAAACATCTAAAGCTCCTCATAACTTCTGCCTCCATCCCGCCAATACCTCTCCAAGCCTGCATCGTGCCACTCAGATACTCCTGTTCCTGTCCTGGACCTCCTGTCTTTGACACTATCTGCTTTGTCAGCCTGGAATGTCCAATCTCTCTCCCTCCCATTCTTCTTCTGGAAAACTCCTAGTCATGCTTCAAGACCCCAGCTAGGATACTACCTCCTCCAAGAAGCTTATTTTGATCTCTCTCCCTGCTGCCCCCTATGTACACAGGCAAATTTGTCCCTTCCTCCCCTCTCTATACGCCCGCCATCCTCCCTTTCACTGTGTCTGAAGCGCCCACTTCCCTCTTTGTCCCCACGTTTGTCTGGGCTCCTTCACAGCCTGGTGTCTCTTCACCTCCTTGTTCTCTGGGCTGAGCCCACGTGGAGGCTCCATTGGTGACTGCGAACTAGACTCTGGGTGGGATTTGGGCCCCTTGAGTGTGTTTAAGGTCCAGCTCAGGGCCTCCCCTCATGGCCACAGAAAGTGGCTGAGTCTGCATCATCATCACTCATCTCACTTGAAGAGCGAGGCCCAAGGGTTGGGCCCCTGGGCAATTCCATGTTTACTGCGTGGCCTTGGAACATGGGATTTTGGCCCCTTGGCCTCAGCTTGGACCATTTTCGCCCAGCCCAGCAGGAAACAGGCATCTGTTCCAGGACTCTGGAGCAAAAGGTCACTTCCTGGGCCAGGGTAACCACGGCAACAACCCCCCTTCCCCCAGCAGCCTCGGACTAGCGAAGTGTCCTCACGAGCTCTGATTTGTCCAAATTTACCTTTTCAGACTAAGGAAGGTCTTGTGCCGGTTTTAGCCCCTCGCCAGATTTCCAGGCGTCCTGGGCAATCTGGGCTCTGCCGCTGACTTGCTGGGGGCTTCGGTAAACGTCTAGGCCTTCTGCCTCGGTTTTCTCAGCTGCAAAAGAAGGAAGTTCATTTTGATGAGAGGTGATCAAACCCGGGCTGTAGGAACCTTAGGGATTCCACAGACATTAGAGTACTTTTGCCAGCAAATACCTTGCCTGGAAAAGACTTCTCTTATTGATTTTATGTGTCAGACATGCTAAAGAGCTGGGCAAGATTTTTTTGCTTGGAAAAAACAATAAAGATTTTCACTGATTTTAAAAGAAAGACCAGAAAAGTGTTGGATATGATTGCTGTGCATTTAAAAATCTAAACAGTGTGCACTTAAACTGTAGTAGATTCTCAAAGATTAGGACTGGGAGAACTCCGGGGAAGAAGACCTGCTTCCTGTTTCCCAGGCTGTACACTGTGGTTGTTGTTTCCTCAAGACTCTTATTATCCTTCCGGGTGTGGCCAGAGAGCCTGGCAGTCTTCTTCTCAGGGGCCTTCCTCCCTCAATGCCAGGAGCAGGGCCCAGCCCAGGTGATGAGGCAGCTGAAAGCGGGGGCCCCAAGGCCCCCCACTGGGTGTGAGGTAGGTGTGCCGGGAAAGCCTCCTTTGGGAGGGGACAGAGGCTGGGAAGGTAGGTTGGGGGTGGTGCGTGGTGGGAATGGAGTGAGGGGACGGAAACTCGAGATGGGCTCAGGAACCCGAAGCCTGGACACTGTCCCTTGGGGCCTGTGGCCTACTGGAGAGACTGCTAACCTCTGGTGGAAATGTTTATTTTTCTGCTCAGACTCCTGGCATCCAATCCAGGCCAGTGGCAGGGGCTGTTGGGATTCTGAAACAGGAACTGGGACAAGAAGACGGAGGAGCTGTCACAGGCCCAGGCTGAGTGAGGACGCACAGTGCCAGCATGTCCCACACTCCCTGCCACCCTGGGGCCAGGGAAATGCATCCCGTGTGAACAGTCCTGCCAGCCACAACAAGCCGCCTGGGTTCATGCCCCGCTGGGGACATGGGCCTGCGTCACTCCAATTGTCCTGGCCACCCAAGTCAAACAAATGAGATTTGGGTTCTTTAAGATCAGATTTGGATGCAAACCAAACCAGGAATCTGCCTCTGGGGAGAGCACTAGGATTGGGGACAGAGGCCAAGGGGGCTTTGAGCTTTCTCTGCAATGTTCTTTTTTTTTTTTTTTTGCAAGGAAAATTTATTTATGAACTTGAGTAATAACAATAACAAATATTAAGTTTTTGTTAAAGATCAGACTTGAAGAGCTTACTGTAAAAATATCTGTTATCTTACAAGAGACTCCAAACACGTTTCTTTTCAGACATGGGGGTGGGGGGCTGCCTGGGTCAGACTGTGCTCCCACCTCGCCAAATGGTTTGGAATCAGATCTGGCTCCCTGGGCCTCAGTTTCCCCATCTGTACCACAGGGAGATGAACCCGGTAGTCTCCGAGGTCCTTCCAGCCCTGATATCAGGAGACGAGAAGCTTCGCCGTGTGAACAGCAAACAGCCTGTTGTCTGGGTTCCTCTGGCCTGCTCCGTCACGGGGAGGCTCCCCATAAGATGCTGCGTCCTCTGAGACGGAAGCCCTCGAAGCCTCGGGCTGTTGATTTGGAAGTGGTCCCAGGGCCATGGGGCAACAGGAGAGCACCCCTGGGGCTCTTTGGGCAGGTGAGTTGAGCTGCCTTCCTGGGGAGAGTTAAGCCAGGCCCCAGAAAGCCTTTGGAGTCCCCCAGCCTCAGGGCAGTCAGACCAATGGCTGGCATCGCAGGGAGGTTAGTCATGTCTCTCTCCGAGCTTGGGATTGAAAAGCCATGACCCGTGTGGGTCGTTAAGACAGAGATGGTCTGGTTAGGGACACTGGCCCAGTGACCCTGCCCCTGGCACCAGTCACTATGACAACAGCTCAATAGGGTCCCAAGGGCCTAAGAATCCTGGTTCTACTGAAAGCGAGGTTGGCTGAGGTCAGACAAAGAGGGATTAATAGAGCCCTGTTCTCGTTAAGCCACAAAGCAGCATTATTACAAGTCTCAACGGCCCTACCAGGAGACGCATCATGCTTTCAAGTCACAGAGAGCCCAGTACACTAAAGAGAACGGCTCCAGCATCAGCCTCAAAGTCACCCTGGAGCCCAGAATCAGAGGGGCAGGAGAAAAACTAGAAACAACCCAAATGTCCAAGAGACAGTTACATAAGGCATCATACAGCTGAACGAGAACGCAGGTGCAGTCATTCAAATGAGGATGCTGGTTACGTGTATTACAGGAAAGTCCTCACAATACACAGAAACAAGGTAACAAAAACTGCCGATAAGATTTGGTAAAAAAAATCACATACATAGTAAAAACATTTCAAAATGTTAGCCCTTTGGAAAGTGGGATCATGTATAATTAATTTTCTTTTGGTTTCTCTGTGTTTTCTATAGTGAACAAAAATTTCTCTTGCATTTCTAAAAACTTTTATTTTCTTAAAAATCGGTGCAGAGAATTAGAGGCTGGTCATTCTTTCCCTCTGTAATCAAACTTCAGTTAACAAAATGCACGAGAGGGCATTGTTTGGAGAGTCAAATTTTCTTTATAAGTAATATTTTATTAATCCAAGAAAAAAATACTTTTTAAAAAATTTGTCTTACATTAACCAATGTGTAAGAAAATTATTCCAAACAGTACTGCATATTCTCATGCCTTCTTACAACAAGAGTACAAAGAAAAGAATTTGACATTGTGAAGGGTCCAAATTCTACCACATTAAATAATAGGCTGGTTTCATGGCCACTGGATGAGCAGAAGTGTTTGTGCCTGTGTAAATGGCCTCAGATTACTCCTCCTATAGAGCAGCTGGATTTTCTTTTCATAATTGTTCAATCTCTTCCGCTGCTGATAAATTGTCAGTCTCAGCATCTAGCCCGTTGCAACTCTTTTCCAGTCTTTCTAATTTGGTCCTTCTAATCTTCTGTTGTCTTGGAAAAAACACACATATTTGTTAGAAGTGTGAGCAAACTAACAGAACACAGATCTGAGAGAGGGCTGCAAAGTGGAGACACTGGCAAGCTGAGATGCAGAGTGGGGAGGTGTTCAAAATGAATGGCCCTTGTAGGTGGGAGTTAAATCATGAAATAGCACGCAAGTCATGTTGAAGAGTTTGGGTTTTATCCTGAGGGCAACTGGGAGCTTTGGAAGAATTCAAGAAGGTAAGTGAGGTGCTCATATTTGTGTTTTTAAAAGATTACAGCAACAAGGACAATTTCGTGTGGTAAAACTGTTGGCAGTAAGAGACGTCGGTTTGGAAACAAAGGGAAGGAAATCAGGCTGTGAGAAGATAGGCTATCAGGGACGTTGTGGATGTGCTCGCTTCCAGCTGATCTCCCCAAACACATTCTCCCTTTAAGAGCAGCCATAGGAGAAATTTATTTCTGGTCTCGGTGCCAGGAAAAGCAATGCCTCCCCTAAGTTACAGATATATTTTTATCTCATGGGCCTGTGAATCTTATAATAATCTCATTTTTCTCTTAGCTTTGGTCACTAGGAAGCTCTGTGTGTAATTCTACACACTGACTTTACCCTTGGCTCCATCTTGGACGCATTCTTTCATTTTTGCTTGGAATTCATTATTTATGGTATCCTTTTGTATTATTTGTATTTTCATAAGCGGCATCAAATTATTTTTGGAAGGAAGTGGAGTATAATGAAAGAATTCTTACATGTCTCAGCTTGAAAGAACAAAAAAAGAATTAATAGCTCTTGTTGTTTTGGTATGGGCATATTTCTCTATGTTAAATATTGCTTTAAAAAAACCTGGCAAGTCTATGACACCAAAAGCATAAACTACCAAATTAAAACTAGATAAGTTGGACTTCATAAAAATTGAAAACTATGCTTCAAAGGACACTATCAAGAAATGAAATGATGGGCCACAGAATGGGAGAAAATACTTGCAAATTGTATATCTGATAAGAGACTCGTGTCTAGAATACATAGGGAACTCTTACAAGTTAATAATAAAAAACAAAGAACCCAATTAAAAACAGGCAAAGGATCTGAATAGACATTTCTCCTCAGAAGATAGACAAATGTCAATAAGGACATGAGAAGACGCTCAGTATCATTAGTCATCAGGGAAATACCAATCAAAACCACAATGAGATATGACTTCATATTCATGAGGAAGGCTATAATCAAAAAGTCAGATATTAACAAGTACTAGGGAGGATGTGGAGAAATCGGAAGCTTCATCACTGCTGGTGGGAATGTAAAATGGTGCCTCTACTTTGGAAAACAGGCTGGCAGTTTCTTAAAAAGTTAAACACAGAACTACCCTATGATCCAGCAATTCTACTCCTAGGTATATACCCAAGAGAAATGAAAATGTATGTCTACACAAAAACTTGCACATGAATATTCATTGCAACATTACTCTTAAGGTAGAAACAACTCAAATGCCCATCAACTGATGAATGGATAGACAAAATGTGGTCTAGCCATGCAATGGAATATTATTCTGCCATAAAAAGGAATGAAGCACTGATACATGCCACAAATGGATGAACCTCGAAAACACTATTCTAGGCGAAAGAAGCAGGGAAGAAGGTGCCATGTATTTTGTCATTCCATATACACGTCCAGAATGAGTAATATATAGAGAGAGAAAACAGATTAACAATTCCTTAGAGCTGGGGGGCTGGGGGGAGTGGAGTGTGATAGCTAAGGGGTGTTGGGGTTTCTTAGGTGATGAAAATGTTCTAAAATTGATTGTGGTGGTGGTTGTGCAATTCTGTGAATATAATAAAAACCCTTGAATTATACACTTTAAATGGGTGAATTATACAGTATGTGGATTGTATCTCGATAAAGCTGTTAAAAAAAGCAAAACTAGGAAGTCGCCATGCTTGGCCCACTCTAGACTAAGTATTTTTGCAACCCAGGCCTACATGGCATCACAGAGACAGGTTCAAACTCCAGCTCAGCCACTTGTCAACTGTGTAACCTCCTCAGACAAGTAAGTTCATCTCCCTAAAATGGAGACACTGATATTTGATGACAGTGGGCTTGTGCTGGGCCTAAGGCTGCCAGCGCTCAGTAGAAACTGAATACACTGCCCCCCAGAGGGCCTTCCGAGGTCCTTGCCCTTGGGAGGTGCCAAATTTCCTGAGTGGCACTTGGAGATTCTCTTTACCGGCACATTGGCCTTGTTGATGTTTAAATATTTAAATAACAACTCATCAGATTCTACAGGTCTGAGAAACTCAGAGAAGGTCCTGGAAGGCAAGCGTGTAGCTGGGGCCACTTCTTCTGCCCCTGTCTCCCAGGGAGCCTGGGCTGAGTGGGATGGGGTCTTATTGTCTCCAGGGTGGTCTGAGAGGAGGCTACCCACCCTTCAGCAGTCATTTAACTGCTTGACCCTCAGCTGAGGAATCAATAGCTTTTTAGTCTACACCCTGCCTCTCTCAGCTCCTATATAAGCCACCTTATGTTTATTTTTTACTTTTAGACAATCCCCAGGGATAGCCCTGGGTCTCACATTCTCACTCATAAAATTAGAGAAAAGTCAGTGCCAGGGCCCCTCGTGTTCGAGCTGAGGAGACTGAGGCACAAGGTAGGTGGGCCCGGCCACAGTGGCCTCTCCAGCCCTGTTCTCTGGAGGATTCGGGGCATTTACTGAGCCGCTCCAGTGTGCTACCTTCTGCTCACAGTTCACGTGCGTTCCCTCACTTAATCCCAACCACAAACCTATGAGGTAGATATCATTTCCCCCTTTAACACATGAGAACACAGACACTCGCCCAAGGGCACGAGAAGAGTAAGCAAGCTGGGATTCAAACGCAGCCTGTCTGATGCTAAAGCCGTGCTCTTTCTCCTGGACCGGTCCCCCAGTTTCTCCATCTTAGAAGCAGAGCCGGTCACAGAGGACAGGGGTTTCCTCCACTCCCCTCCCACAAGAAGTACTCTGCTCCAGACTCTGGATTTTCGGAATATCCTTGGGCCTCACCTGGTTGTGCTATCTGCTGCCCCTCATTCCCCATCCCCACTCATTTCTCTCCCCAAATCCTCTTATTTGGGGAGAGATTCTCTGCAGCTCAGTTTCCTCCCATCTGACCCTCTCTAAACTCGAGCTTGGGAGCTTCCGTTTAGACTCCCATAGGAGAAAAGGAAAAAAGAATTACGGATGTTCCCAGTTCTAAGCCGAGTCTATCTCTCAGGATGCTTTTTGTTGCCAAGGAAAATGAAACAGATGTCTTGGCAATAGCTTTGTGTGCTCCCTGCCAAACCAGGGAGAGCCTGTCTTCAGTTTAGACGCAGCCAAGAAAGACAAGTCTCAGCCCATGTCATTCCCAGGAAACCCGCAAAAACACACAGCTCCTTAAACCTGGGGGGCTGGCACTCCCAGCCCTCTCTCACCCGGATTTCAACATCAACTGTGGAAACACACTGCCCCCACTCCTTTCCCTTGCCTCCTGCCCTCCATCCCCCATGGCCCCAGGTTTCTGTCACCCACTGCTCCCCATCGTCTAGTGACTCCAAGGCCTCTTGGCCTGGCAGGCAATGCCCCCTTCCTTGCTGGCCTAGTTCCCCAACATGCCCTAGGGACACTTTCGTGTGTGTGGTCAAATACACATAACATACAATTTACCATTTTAGCTATTTTAAAGCATACAACCTAGTGGTGCTTACAACACTTACAATGTCGTACAACCATTGCCACTATCTACTTCCGGAATATTTCCTCACCCTGAAAGGAAAGCCCATACTCACTAAAGAGTCACTCCCCATTCCCTCAACCCCATCCTCTGGCAGCCACTAATCTGCTTTCTGTCTCTCTGAATTTGCCTATTCTGGGTATTTCATATAAATGGTATGATACAACATATGGCCTTTTGTGTCTGGTTTCTTTTGCTCAGTTTAATGTTTTCAAGGTTCATCCATGTTGGAGCATCTACCAACATATATTTTAAGGCTGAACAATATTCTGTTGTGTGGTCAGACTACATTTTGTTCATTCATTCATCAGCTGATGGACGTTTGGTTTCTTTCCTTCTTTCAGCTGTCATGAATGGAGGCACTACAAACATTTTTGCTCAAGTTTTGTTTGAACACCTGTTTTCACTTCTTTGGATTATATACCTAGGAGTGGAATGGCTGGATCATGTGGTAATTCTATGTGTAACTTTTTGAGAAAACACCCAGATTTTTTCCATAGTAGCTGTACCATTTTACATTCCCACCAGCAATGTATGAAGGTTCCAATCTCTCCATGTCCTCACCAACACCTGTTATTTTCCTTTTTTTAATTATAGCCATCCTGCTGAGTGTGAAGTGATATCTCATTATGGTTCTGATTTGCATTTTCCTGATGATAATGACATTGAGCATATTTTCATGTGTCTGTTGGCCATTTGTCTTTCTTCTTTGGAGAAATCCCTATGCAAGTCCTCTGTGCATTTTTGCATTGAGTTATTTGTTTTATTTTATTGTTGAATTGTAAGAGTTCTTTATATATTCTGGATACTAGACAATGATCAAATATATAGTCCATTCCAGTGATCTATGTATCTATCCTTGTGCCAGTATCACAATGTTGATTACTGTAGCTTTGTAGTAAGTTTTGAAATCAAGAAGTGTGAGTCCTCTAACCTTGTCCTTACTTTTCAAAATTGCTTTAGCTATTCAGGGTCCCTTGCAATTTCATATGAAATTTTAGGGTTAGCTTTTCCATTTCTGTAAAAAACGCATTGGGATTTTGATAGGGACTGCATTGAATCTGTAGATCAGATTAGGAAGTGTTGCCTAATCTGATCCATGAACATGGGATGTTTTTCCATTTATTGTTTCCATCTTCTTTTATTTCTTTCAGCATTGTTTTATAGTTTTCAGTGTACAAGTCTTTCACTTCCTTGGTTAAATTCATTCCTAAGTATTTTATTGTTTTTGATGCTATTGTCTATGGAATTATTTTCTTAATTTCTGTTTCAGATTGTGTATAGAAATACACCTGATTTTTGTGTGTATCCTTCAACTCTGCTGAATTCATTTATTAGCTATAACAGTTTTTTGAGGATTCTTTAGGATTTTCTGTATATAAGATCATGTCATCTGCAAATAGAGAGAGTTCTATTGCTTCTTTTCCAATTTGGATGCCCTTTATTTCTTTTTCTTGCCTAATTGCTCTGGCTAGAACTTCCAGTACAGGCTGAATAGAAGTGGTGAAAGCAGGCATCCTGTCCTGTTCCTGATCTTCGGGGAATGCTTTCAGTCTTTCACCAAGCGCTCTCTTGACTCTCGCTGGCTTATCTCTCCACTCTCTCCAGGGCATCTGGCTCCCTACCCTTGCTCATTCCTCTGCCCCCAAGGAAACCACTCTCCAGCCCTTGCCACACCCTCCAGTCCCCACCTCTGCCTTCTGCAACCCAGTTGAGTTCCTCATCCTTCAAAATTAAGTTTTTTGAGAAATTCCCTGTGTCTCACTCATGTGGCCCCAACTGGTCAGGCAATGTCTCTCCTTCCTGGCCCTCTCCCACAGTTCTAAGCATGAAGGGTTTACCTATGTACCTCATAAATACTGAGGTCTTGAAAAGCACCTGTTTTTCAGGAGCTTAAGAGGTCAGTCCTGCTGAGCAGAGCTATGTAGGGCCAGCCTAGCCACAGGAAATACAAATCTCCAGTTCTTGCTGGCCTGATCGGCAGGAGCCCAGAAACAACTGATGGCCATCCAAGGGACACAGGTGTTCCAGGGCACCCAGCTCCATGGCAGGTGGAGCCTGCTGACTTGGCATGGAAACCTCTGTTTGTGGGCAGGACCTTTTCCCCCTTCTCTCTCAGCTGGAGGGGAATCCATAAGTGTCCCCCTGGTGCCCAGGCCCTTGAGACCAGGCACCTCTGTGAAGTCAATGGCTTGAGACATAAAAAGAGTGGACTTGGAGCATAAATCCAGAGACAGTAGCCAGATCAGTCCAGCACCACGAGCAGCACCTTCCTGCTATGCCAGCTCCTTTGGCTAAGGTGAGGTCATTCCTCATGGGAGCCCTCAGCACCTCTCTGAGACCAGGCCAGAGACTGCCGGGGGCCTCAGCCAGGAGAGGCACCAAGCAACTCCCAGGAGAACTAGACAAAACTACCAATGACAGTGGGATACTTACCATCCCCTCTCAGAAACGATGGGTCAAAAGAACCCAGAGTAAATAAGGATACAGAATTCTAAGAAATATAGTTAATAATTTAAAAATTATATATACTCCACAAAGAATATATATTTTAAAATATCCATTGAACATTTTTAAAAATTGGTTATATTCTAGGATGTCAAGATTTTTAAATTCCAGAAAGTAGAAGTTACACAGATTCCCATTGTCAGACCATAGTGCACTGAGACTAGAAATGAATTACAAAGGCTTAAAAAGAAATAGCAGGGGCTGGCCTGATGGTGCAGTGGTTAAATCTGCATGCCCCACTTCGGTGGCCCGGGGTTCGCAGGTTTCGATCCCAGGTGTGGACCTACACACTGCTCATCAAGCCATGCGTGGTGGCATCCCACATACAAAGTAGAGGAAGACTGGTACAGATATCAGCTCAGGGACCATCTTCCTCAAGCAAAAAGAGGAAGATTGGCAGCAGATGTTAGCTCAAGGCCAATCTTCCTTACAAAAAAGATAAATAAAATAAAAATACAAATAGAGATAAAACCTTGGAAACAAAAACACAAACATACCAACACTACTAGTATTTAAAATAGCTTTTCAGTTTTAAACAGGAAATATAAACTGCAAACACTACATGATAAAATCCACGCGGGGAGGGTGCAAAACTGGGCTGGAGGAGTTTTGTAGCCTTAAGTGTTTTAAAAATTAACGAAAAAGGAAAGTAAATCAAGAATTGATGTGATTCTCAAAAAAGAACTGAGAAAAGAACTAAAAGGATAAATGAATGATAAAGCTAAAGCGAGTTAATGTTAGATACCAAAAATAACAAAATAGATCTTTCAAACCAAGAACGAGTTCTTCGAAAGGACTGATGCGGTAAGTTTCTGACAAATATATCTAATAAAAAAAGAGATTAAAAAAACTCCTGGAAATGAAAATTGGACTATACCCACAAATATAATGACAATTTTTAAAGTTATAAAAGAATATGACTTGTGTTTGAAATCTGAAGTAGACAAATTTCTAGGAAAATATAAATGATCAAAATTAACTTGAAAAGAATTAGAAAAACCTGAGCAGATTAATGTTCATAGAAGAAACAGAAATAATTATCAATGACCGAAGTCCCTCCAAAGCGCAGGCCCAGGAAGGATTACTGATGAGTGACAGGTGAGGATGAGGACGGGCGGGTGGGGGCAGGCCTGGGGAGCTGGCTGGAGAGCTGGTCTGCGCACTTCCCCATTTTTACCGTCGGTCTGCTGTTCTGATCTGCACGTGGGCCTGGGGACCCAGTTCTGGGATTCAGGCTCTGGGCTCTCTCCTTGTCCCTCCTCAAACTCGGGACCTTTGAGCCTCCGGTCTAAGGGGGTCCTCCTCAAGCTGAGCCAAAAGACACCAATGCCAAGAGAAGAATTACGTCTGGAACAGGTGGGGGCGTCAGCAAGGGCTCACCTCTCACTTACCAGCAATAACAGCACCTCAGGCTTAGACTAACGGGAAATGGAGGGCTTGTGTAAAGCTCCTACCTTGTAGCCGTGCAGTGTGTCCACTTTTGCATGACCATGGGACAAAACAAAACACCTCCCCATCTCTGTCCAAGGCCTGCAGCGGGATGAGACTGTCCTGGGGGGCAGATCCAGGCCTTGCTCCACACCAGGACCTAACCGACTGCTCTGACAGGGCCTTGGGAGCAGTCTTCGGCTCTCTGCCGCTTGAGAACCACACAACAGTTCCTCCTTGATCCCAGCAAGCAAAGGTGTGTGCACTTTCCAACCCAGAGGGAGAGCTGGTGGAGACCTTTGCCAGGACTGAGACTTCAAAGTCCGATCCAGGGGTCCAGCTGGACCTCTGGGCCTCCTCCTGGAAGGCTCATTCTTTTGAGGGCCCTTGTAGCCAAGCCCCTGGAGCTGGATGAGGGCTTTGGGAACACCCTGGGCATCTTTTTCTGATACTGAGGACCCTGAGCTTCACTCCATGAGGGGAGAGAGAAGCGGAGAGAGGAGAGAAGGCGGGGCTGTGCCTCTCTGTGGATTTGCTCAGGGGATCTCAGCCACCTCCAAGAGGCACTGAGCCACCTCGCAATAAATCCTCTCCATTTGCCTGTCCAGGACGACACAGGGCAACTACAGGAGGGAAAAAGTAAAGATGGAAGCCACACCGAGGAGGAGAGAGAAGCTTTCGATGATGAACCAAGGTCAGTCAGCACCTGGGGATTCCAGGCCAACTGGGCATTTTGACTCCTCGTGTCTCCAGAGGACTCTGGCTGGGGCTGGTCCTCCCCTTCATAGGGTGTCCTCCAGCTCCCACACTACGTTTTGCCCATCTGCTGGACTGGAAACCCCTTCCACCATCAGCTAAATGTTTGCTGAGCCTCAGCTGGAGCCCAGGGCACCCTGGAGGCCTCGGGGGAGATCACTGAAGCTGGGGCATGGTCTGAGGAGGCGGGCTGACCGGGAGTATCTTCTGGGCTAAGGAGAGCCTCCTCCTCCCTGTGGTTTCTTTCTTTCTTTTTTTTTTTTTTAAATGAATTTTATATTTTAGAGCTGTTTTAATTTCGCCGCAAAATTGAGCACAAAGTGCAGAGTTCCCGTATGCCCGCTGTCCCTATACTCACAGCCTCTCCCACTGTCAACCTCCCCAACCAGAGGGTGCATTTGTTACGGTCGATGAACCTGCACTGACACATCATTACCACCCAGAGTCCATGGTTTACATTAGGGTCCACTCTTGGTGGTGTACATTCTATGGGTTTGGACCAGCGTGTAATGACATGCATCCATTGTTATAGTAGCATACACAGTATTTCTACTGCCCTAAAAATCCTCTGTGCTGTGCCTATTCATCCCTCTCTCCCCCAGCCCCATGGCAACCACTGATCTTTTTGCTCTCTCTATGGTTTTGCCTTTTCCAGAACGTCATAGAGTTGGAATCCTACAGTATGTAACCTTTTCAGATCGGCCTTGTTCACTTGGTAATATGCATGTAAGTTTCCTCCACATCTTTTCATGGCTTGATAGCTCATTTATTTCGTTTCAGTGCTGAATAACATTCCACTGTCTGGATGTCCCATTGTTTATTTATCCACTCCCTTACTGAAGGACATCTTGGTTGCTTTCAAGTTTTGGAAAAGTAAAGCTTCTACAAACCCCCAGTGCAGGTTTTCATGTGGACCTGAGTTTTCAGCCCATTTGGGTAAATACTGAGGAGCGTGATTGTGGGATCAGATGTAAGAGTATGTTGTGTGTCGTGGTTCCTTTGTAACAGCTTTATTGAGGTATAATTTCTATACAATAAAATCCCCCCATTTTAAGAGTAAAGTTCAGCGAGTTTTGTTTATAGTCATGTTCAAATTTCAGAATCTTTCTCTCACTTCAGAAAGATTCCTCAGGCCCCCTCGCAGCCAAGCTCCCCCTCCCCCGACCCAGACCCCCACAAATACTGATCTGTTTCTGTCACTATAGTTCTGCCTTTTCCAGAATTTCATACAAATGGAATCATACAGTACATAGTTTTGGGGGGTCTGGATTCTTTCACTAGCTTGTTTTTGAGATCTACCTGAGCCATTATGTCCATGAGTATTTTCCTTCTCATTGGTGAGTAGTATTGCGCTGTATGGATGGAACTGTTGTGTATCTGCTGACCAGCTGATGGATATTTGGGTTGTTTCCTTTGGTTGGCAGTGGGGGCTGTTATGAATAATGCTGCTATGAACATTTTTGTCTTTGTGGGTGTGGCTCTTTTCAAAGGGGAATGCAGGGCCCCCGCCCCAGTCCTGTCCAGAGTGAGCAGGGGGATGATGAGGAAGTTGGAAGAGGCCCAACCATGAAGAGGAAGGGGCATCTGTGCTGAGGCACCTCCACGACCCCCTCAGTCTGGTCACAGGGCTGCCACGACTGCCGGAAACCTCTCTCCACCAGACAGTCCCTTCCCTCCCCTGCCTGGCCAGTTGCTCTGAACAAAAGATGAGGGGCCAGAAGAGGGAAGTGATGTTTATTTCCTTGTCTCCACAGTGCTGGGAAAGCTGTACGAGGTCTGGAGCGCGGGGCATCCCGGGATCAGCTCCCTGCTGCCACAACCCCACTGGTGTTATTAGTATCCTCATCAGAATGACGTCTTTTCCAGCAGCTTGTTTCTAGCACGTTTCTGAGTTTCTACAGCCCATCCAGATCTAGGCCCCTGGTCACATCCCAGAGCCACCCCCACCACAGACACAAGGCCCCTCAGTGCCAGGCCCCCTTGGTGGATCTCAAATGGTTTTGCATGAGCCCCACCCCACATAAGGCAGCAGAAGCAGGCTCTTACCCTATTCGGCAGATGGGCAGGCTGTGGCTCAGAGAAGCTGAGTGGCTGGCATAAAATGGCACAGGATCTCCTCTACAACCACCTACAACCACCCTCCATACAGCAAGCCCCTCAGCTTCCCTTTCCACCCAAAGGTCTGGCTCCCACTCTTGGATGAAGAGAAGGAGCGTCTGAACCCAAAATTCCTTACAGCACAATAGACAACTGAAAAACAACTCAACAGAATTTTAATTATTCACAGAAAACGTGTACTGTGTACAAGGTATTGACCAAAGAACTTTATAAATACTAACTCATTTTCTCCTTATAACTACCTTAATGAAGCAGGTACAATTATTATCCCCATTTTATAGGTGAGGAAACTGAGGCAGGGAGAGAGTAACTGGCCCAGGGCCACACAGCTAGGAGGCCAGAGAGCCGGCAGTGGCCCACACTTTTAGACACTGCACTCTGCTACCTGCGGATTTTTTGTTTGTACCATTTTCCAGTTATTAATTTTTAAACAGTTTTATTGAGGTATAATTTAATGGTGTAATTTAACTTAAGATTTACCCATTTTAAGTGTACAATTAAATGATTTCAGTTAATTTATAGAATTGTGCAACCATTATAACGAACCAATTTTGGCACATTTCCATCATCCCAGAAAAGATCCTTTATGTCCACTTCCTGTCACTGTTTCAACCTCCAGCCTGAGGCAACCACTAATCTACTTTCTGTCTCTGTAGATTTGCCTCTTCTGGAAACTTCATAATAATGAAGTCAGAGAATGTTGGGTCTTTTGAGTCTGTTTTTGAGGTTGATCCCTGGGGTAGCATGTGTCAGCACGTCATTCCTTTTCATTGCTGACTAATAGTCTGTCGTGTGGCTATCCCACATTTTGTCTATCCATTCACCAGCTGATGGATTTTTTTGGTTGTTTCCACTTTTTGGCCGTGATGAATAAAGCTGCTGTGAACATTTGTGTAGCAGTCTTTGTGTGGACATGTTTCCTTCTCTCTTTGGGTATATTCCTAGGAGTGGAATTGTTGGGTCGGATGGTAAATTTATGTTCAACTTTTTAAAAAACTGCCAAATGTTTTCCCCAAGGGGCAGCAGCCTTTTCCATTCCCATGCCTATGGACTCGTTCCAGTTCCGGGGCCACCCATACAACCAGACCGAGCCTGGTTAGACCCTAGACCGTCTGAGCGGTACAGCGGGGGCCCTCGGGCCGGCCCTGCGTCCAGCTCAGCCGCCCCCGCTGCTGCTGCCGGTCCAGAAACAGGTGGACAAGAAGGCAGCCGCTCTAGTTTCTAACCCAAGAAAATCGCCTTCTGGGACCCAGAGCACTTCTTCAGGGGAAATCAGCAAAGTGGCTATTAAATCAAAAGGAAAAAGAGAAACACACACTTGGGGAGGTCAAGAGAGATCTCGCCAAACAAGAAGCCCAACTTGAGAAAGCAGAGGCAGAGGGAGGAGGCGGCCAGCAGCTCTCATGCTCTGGAAGCCGGTTTGCGCCGCCAGCTTTGTCAGAGCCTTTCCCAACTTCCTCGGAGGCCCAGTGAGAGGATGATGGGGTGACGGTGGGAGGGCAGCCCCACAGCCGGCTGCCTGGGAAAGCCGTCAGGCAAAGCCGTCAGGCCACTCCTGGGCCAGGCAGGCGCTGGGGGCCCGCCAGGAAAGGCCTTCTCCAGAGCTGTGCGGCCCTCTGGGAAGGGGGAAGCAGCCCACTGTCAGCCAGGATGGCTCTGAGCACCACTGACTTCTCAGTTTGTGCCACAGTTTGCTCTAAATTAGAGTCGTTTTTAGTAAGATCTGAAGTTTCACTATTTAAAAGAGTTGCAACTTTTAATTTTTATTCATTATTTTATTTTATTTTAAAGATTTTATTTTTTTCCTTTTTCTCCCCAAAGCCCCCCAGTACATAGTTGTATATTCTTCGTTGTGGGCCCTTCTAGTTGTGGCATGTGGGACGCTGCCTCAGCGTGGTCTGATGAGCAGTGCCATGTCCATGCCCAGGATTCAAACCAACAAAACACTGGGCCGCCTGCAGCGGAGTGCACGAACTTAATCACTCAGCCACGGGGCCAGCCCCAAAAGAGTTGCAACTTTTGATTAAAAGGTTTCGACATTCCTGGTAGCAAATGAGAGAACTCTAACCCCAGCACATGGTGAGCGTCCAACAGGTACCTGCCGTTCCACTCCTTCCCCGACTCGTCCTCCCTTCTCACAGGGCCCGGTGCTGCTGAAATACTCACAGCTGCGGCTTGGAGAGGACAGGACAGCATGGGACGCTGCTGCCCCAGGTGACTCCTGAAAGCCGACCTCTCAGGACAGGAGGTCATCCAGACCCATTCTGGACCTGCCACCGCCCTGGGGAAGGGGGTGTAATGGCCTAGGGGTGGGCTCAATGGCACAGGGGGGTCAGGCTACACCTTGGCCACATGGGCAGGTCCTAGGGCTCCATAAGTCACATCCTCGGTGTGTCTGCCTCCCACCATCAGTCACGGAGATGTACGAAGGCCAGTACAGCTTCAGTGGCAGTGTGATTCCGGCATCTCCCAAATCTTGTATGAGAACAAGACCACCTGGTCCCAGATGGCACCCAACAGGCCCTCAGAAAGGGTCTTTGCTAGGCCCTGAAGCAGATACAGGAGATGCGGAGTCATCGCTTCTGTTCTCAGGCAACTCAGCCTCCTGGAATGTACGAGACCCTTAGGGACTGTACTGAGTGAAAGTGTCCCCCCAAATTCATGTCTCCCCAAAACCTGTGAATGGGATCTTATTTGGAAACAGGGTCTTTACAGATGTAATTAAGGTAAAATGAGGTCACAGTGGATTTGGGTGGACCCTAATCCAATGACTAGTGCCCTTACGAGAAGAGGGAAATTGGACACAGACAGAGGAGAAGCCATGTGAAGACGGAAGCAGAGACTGGAGTGATGCAGCTACAGGCGAAGGAATTCCAAGGGTTGCCAGCAACCACCAGAAGCTGGAACAGGCAAGGAGGGGTTCTCCTGAGAGTCTTCAGAGAGAGCACAGTCCTGCCAACACCTTGATTTGAGACTCCGGCCTCCAGAACTGGGAGAGTAAATTTCAGCGGTTTAAAGCTAGCCAGTTTGTGGTACTTTGTTACAGCCGCCTAGGAAATGAACATGGTGACCAAGAGCCAGGCTCAGGTTGCATGGGACAGAGCATATATGGGTGCGGGTGTCAGAGGGGGAAGGATGACAGGCGGAGAGGACTGCACGGAGGAGGCGGCACCTCTTCTGGTTGTGTCTGAGGTTTGGGCAGGAGGCCCAGAGAACAGAACTGAAACTAGAGGCTCAGCTGGTAGATGTGTCTTTAATGGCTCACGGTTTGTCATCTCTGTGGTCTCCACCACACCTCTAACAGGCACTGTGCCCAGTGGGTGCTCAGGAAAAGTTCCCTGGCTGTGTTGGCCTGATCTCTCCCTCCCCGCGTCCCCGGAACACCAGAGCTGTGCCTCCTACACGGTGCTTGCCTCCCTCTGCTCTGCACTGTCTGGTTCATGCACTTGTCTCGCTCCTCACATCTTGTATCACTTACTCACCAAACTGCGATTGACGCCCCATGTGACGGGCAGCTTCTAGACCAAAAGGGCTGACCTGCATTTGTCCTGCTTTCCTCCATCTCGCCTCACCTGATTCCCCGTGTTCCACATGTCACAGTGCCTGCACACAGTAGGTGCCATTAGACGCTTAGTGTTTTTGGATGAGCTCTGTGTGTGAGGAGACAGACGACATGGTTGGCCAGCTGGGCTGGGGGGGCCAACTCGGCTTTACCGAGAAAGTGATTAGAGGCTGCTGCTGCTCGCTGAGTGGGTGGAGCCGCGTCAGCAGCCCGGCAAGTTGTCCACAGGGACTCCCATTCACTGAGGCACACACTAAGTCCACCGTTCCCGTTCCTGTGGCTGTGGCCTTATCCTGAGTGTGACCTGAGAAATGAAGTCCCTCGGCTCTCAGAGTGGCCAGAACCATGGACAACAAGAGCCAGAGGGCAGCATGAGGAGAGGGGTTAGCATTTGTACTCCAGGGTGTCTCCATATGTTGTCCTCCTGGGTCCCATTCACCATGTCGTAAGTAGCACAGCATCTGGAAATCAATGGTCAGTGCCTGGAGCCGGAGGCTAGGCTGAGCTGAAGTTGGCAGTGCCCCTGACCACCATTCTGACAGCCTGAGACTTCCCATGGTGCCCAGCTTGTCCAGGACAGGGGTCCCTAATGATGAACCAGAGTGGCCAGCCCACAGAAACTCCTTCGGGCTCGAATGACATGTTACGGTCTAGCTGGGCCATTCACAGGAGCCCCGGGAGGTCTCTTCACTCAGCACTGTGGGGTGAGGGGCGTCACACAGCCGAGCTGGACTGTAACCTGGGTCCTTCCATGCCCACTGAGCCTGATGGCTGATTCCTTCACTGGCCCTTTGCTAAGCTGCCCCCAGCCGTGACGCCTCAGGGTGCTGGGCGGGGAATGGTTTGGGGCGATCAGAGTTTACACTGAATGACACCATCGAAAACTTGACACTAAGGTCAGCTGCTCAAAGGCGCTCTGAGTGTTGACCATGCCTGCTCTGGGCAGCCATCAACCCACACACAGACCCAGGGGCATTGGGAAATGCCAGCCACAGGCCAAGGCCACCATCCAGGGGATGGTGGCTCTGGGCCTTTCTTTCTTTCCCAGTTGGTGACCAGTTGGTGAGCTGGAGAACTGAGCGTGACTTTCCTCACCAGGTCTCCCTGGTGGAGACAAACCAAAGCCTAACACTGGGTGTTAAATCACAGCATTTCGACAGAATGCCAAGGGGGCAGCTGGGCACTAAGGCCACAGGACCCCTCAAAGTGGCTGGACTTTTGCTGTCTTGTTGGTGTCCAGCCTGAGGGCTTCAGCCTCGGGACACCCCCAGAGCACGTGGAGGCGAGCTGGTTCCAGACGCATTGCACTGACATGATCAGGGGACACCAGAGCTCAAAAGGGTGGGGGCTCTCTAGCGAGCCGGCTGCACGGCCTGGCCAGCACAGGTGCTCGGATGGGGACTTTCCAGGAGAACTGGCCGGAGTTGCCAGCTTCCTGAGAGGAACAATGCTGGAAGAGAGAGGAACCCCTGCCTCAGACGGCGCATCCTGTCCACGAGGCTCACGACAGCCTCCACACAAACAATGCTGCTGCCCCCAATTAAACCTGTTTTCCTTCTATGGTGAACTCTCCGCTGCAGGCTGGAGGGCTGAGAGGCCCTTCTCACAATAGCCCAACTGCTCGTCCTCAGGAGCCAAGACCCCAGTTTGAGCTTAGCTACAGGATCCAAGGCCAAGTGGTCGGGGGAGGCCAGGGTCGGTGCAGACTGCCCCTGCACGGGACCTCCGTGACTCCCGGGAACCCATTTTTAGTTCTTCAGGGGCTGTCAGTTTGCAGAGCTGTCTGCTCAGAACCTCTGGGTCCCGGGCAGAAAGCAGCATCTCAGACCCTGAGCTCTGGCAGGAGATGTTTGTGGACAGACGGACGGGTTTATCCGGCAGGGCTGCCTGGGGTCAGAGCTGAAAGGGCTGCAGGGCCAGTCCCCACTCTGTGGAGGTGGAATGGGAGGTGAGGTCTGGAGACAGGAAGTGTCCTCTTCCCAAACAGGTCCTGGCTGAGCAGTTACTGACCCGATGACCCCCACCAGGCCTGGGCCTCTGGCCCCTCTGCCTCAGTTTACAGTGGAATCCTCCCTTTGTCCTTGCCCGACCCTATCAAGTACCAGGCTGGAAGGCTGGGCGGAACCTTGACAGATCCCGGTACTTCAAGGGCAGCTCCGCTTGTTGAGCCCACTGTTTATAAAGACTATCCCCCCCGTCCCCCATCAGCCCAGGTATGGAAAAGAGCGCCACCAAGAAATGCTGGAACGAGTCACTGACATGGACTTTCCTGGATGACTTTATTGGGCATCATCACTCGGTCAGTAGGTCACAGACCTGTGGTGAAAAACGAGCTGCAGTTTGAGCATCAATATCTGGGGAAGCGCACATCTTCACTGAGGTATCCGGAGAGCACCAGGCCACAGAGAACGAGGCCAGTCGCAGTGGGTGACCTCCACCAGAGGACCAGCACCCAGGCGCCTGTCAGCTGCGCCCTCTGCTCCAACGTTAAAGGGTGGTGGGAGGTGGGGCAGGTAGGGGGAGGGGCAGGGAGCTGGCATGGGGTGCAGAGGGCACAATGGGGAGGGGAAAGGGCCCGAGGCAGAGCTGGCCCTGCTTCACCACTGCTCCTTCGAGGCCTTCCTGTGGTCAGGAGGGCGCGGGGCCCAGGGCTGGGTTTTGGGGCCGGGTGTGAAGTCCTGGCAGTGAAAGGGAAGTGGAGTGGCTCGTGCTGGGGGCTGAGGGTTGTCCCAGAGCCAGCTCAGGGCCCTGGGGAGAGGGGCCCTTGGAGCAGTAAGGCAAGGAGGAGGAATCAGCTCTCAGCATCAGAACTGCCTATTTCCTCCCATTCTGGCACAGGTGAAGGCGGGGGGTGGGGTGGGGGCACCTTTTCAGCACTGGACAGCTGATGAAGGTGAGTGAGATGCAGGACAGATCAGCAGGTCCTGCAAAGGCCAGGAGCAGGGCACTAGAGCCTCTGATGGTGGCAAACAACCAGCCCAGCATTGGGGGCCTTCCTCAGGGTTGGCTGTTGGCCCCAATCAGGAAAGGGTCTGGGGTCCTAGTCCCAAACCCCCTTCCAATGCCTCTGTCAGACAGGTCTACTCAAGGGACAAAAGTGGTTGCATTTCATTAAAAACTTGTTTCATTAAAAACTAGTTCTGAACATGAAGAATATGTCAAAAACGACAAAATGTCAAAAAAAAAAAAAGCCGTTCTTTCCTCCATTAAACACCATTCATTCACTGAGAACTTCCTGAGCACCGTGCTCCGCCCAGACCTGTGTGCCGGGGTCTGGGGGGTCCAGGGGGTCCGGGGGAAGTCTAAGGCACTGGCCCTGCCCTGGCACAGGGCTCCTTCTCCCTGGGAAGGCAGCTCCCACTGTGAAAGGCTGGTGAGCAAGTCCAGACCCAGAGGACAGGGAAGGCCTGGCAGCATCCGCCACTGGACAGACGAGGCCCTCGAGGCAGCAGCCGGAGAGCATCCCGCCTAGGGCCATCGAGAGTAGGAGGGACACCCCAGGCCACAGGCCAACATGGAGCTCTGGAGGGTGCTATGACCACTCTGCTCAGAGCTGCAACAGCAGTGGCCCTGTGGCCAGAGGCTCAAGGAGGCCATGGTTTGGCCAGGCCTTCCCCGGGAAAGGAAGAGGGGGGAGACCCGGGCTCGTCAGGCTATCTGTACCCCAGAAAGGCAGGGCTGGCCTGACGTCTCCCTCAAGGTGGACACATGGGAAAGAACCCTGCTTAGCACCTGGGAAACAGAGGCAGTTCAGGGACACCCTGCCCCACCTGGCTCTCTCAGACTCTCACTCAGCATCTCTCTCCTGAGGGACCCTCTCAGAGCCTGCAGGTCCCCAGACGCCACACTTCCCAGAGACTCTGAACACCCGACCCCACCCCAAGTTGGCCAGCCCTCCCTCCTGTGCTGGGGCTGGCAGAGCCAGTGGGCACAAGTGGGCACAAAGTTTCCTTGCCCCGAGTGGCAAGGCTCCCTGGGCCCTGTCACTCTCACTCCATCCTGGGGGCTGGGCTCCCGATTAGTGAAGCATCCCCACATGCTCTCCCCTCCACGTCCACGTGGCTCAGACAATTTGGGCTCCAATTCCTATGGTGACCTTGCTCTCTGCATCCTGCAGGGTTCTGTGACCCCACAGGCCGGAGAAAACAGAACAAGGCAGTACAGGGGTCCTACGACCTGGGGGAACAGAGGTCCTGGGCCTGAGGGGAAAGTGCCCACCTCACCACACGCCCCTCCAAAGCAGACGGTCTGCTGGCCCAGGCCCAGCACCGGGGTGGGAGGGTCAGAAGAGGCTGGGGGCGGCCTGGCCAGGCGTGTCGTGGTCCCGGATGTACTGCAAGATGTCCATCTCATCCATGGCTTGGATCTGCTGCTGCTGCTTCCACTGCCCAGCCACGGCTTCAGATGGGCCTGCTCTCGGGACAACAGCTGGCTTCCTGGGTAGCACGGGCTTAGCCGCCACTGGAGGCTTGGGCTTAGGCTGGGGCTGGGGTTTGGGCTCAGTCCCCAGGTTCAGAATCTGGTCCAAATCCTCTTCGACTCTAGGGAACCAGAAGCAGAAGCCCTGAGCACAAACTCCTGCAAAAGGAGCAAGGGCCCCAGGCAATGGCCCCCACAGGGGGACTGCGCCCAGACCTCCTCCCTGCTCTGGCTTCTCACTCTGGGCCAGGCCAAGGCCCCGCCCCAACCTGGCCCTGCCACCATCCTGCCCCCAGAAGGAACTGAAGGGCAGGCTTGTCCTTCCCTGCAACCCCACAGCACAGCGGGAGCAGAGCCGGCCCTCAGCAGCCTTTCGAGAGCTGCGTCTCAGGAGGACCCGCTCTAGACACACTGGCCTCTTTAGGTGACTTTTCCTTCAACACCACAAGAAACCACAGTAACAGCTGCCAGACACGGAGCTCCTGCTTTGTGCCAAGCACTTTAGACATGTTATCTTGTTTTATCCCCAAACAACCCTTTGGGGAGCACCCCTGAATCTCTGCCCTGCAAATGTGGACGCTCAAGTCCCAGGAGGCTGAGCCGGCTGCCTGAGATGACCGTCAGTATGTGGCAGCGCCTGAGCTGGAGCCAGGATGTGTGACTCCAGAAATGAGCTCTCATCTAGACCAAGTTCAGCCAGACAAACAATAAATGAGGGGCTCTGACCGTTGTAGGGTGGGATGGGGTCTGTCTGCCCACCTGCCCCCTGTGGGCCACACAGGCACTAGGCAGAGCCCACCGAGGGCTGGAGCGGCCTCAGCCAGGGTCCACCAAGACTCAGTCATGGCCCTGGACCTGATGGCCCATCAGTGAGTAGGACTAACGGCCTCAGCAGTGTGATGGTCACATGGGACCCGCTGCAGAAATCGAATGGCAGTTAAGAAAGGCAGGCCACAGCCTCGCTCTGCCCTCTTTGCCTGAGGGAACTCCTGGTGCGGGAACTCAATTCCTGAGGACCGGATGCACAGCAGAAGATCCATACAATCCACTCTACCACCCACCCACCCACCCTCCCTATCAGCGTTGTGCTGAATACCTACTATGGTCAGGCTTTTCTACATTCATTAACTCACTTAAAAATCACAAAACACTGTCTGGCAGTAGATACTGTGAAAACAGAGGCGCAGGGAGATGAAGGGCCTGGCCTAGGGCCCACGGCTAGTTGTGGAGGAGCAGGACTCGGCCTGGGTGTGGCTGGGTCTCCAGGGTGTGTCTGCCTTCTTGGGGCACCAACACACTGAAGCTTGTTCTCCAGGGCCAGGCTGGGTTTCCTCCAAGGTCAAGGATCCCTCTGTATGCTGAGGCCCCGGGCTCCCCAGAGGCCCTTCAATCATCTGCCAGGTGACACTGCTGGACCTGTTGCCTCGGAGGACCCAACCCAGACCCCCTCTCGCCTTCCTGAGGGAGAAGCTTCTCTTGGGACTCCGTGGTAACCTCCCACACACCTGCATCCTCAGGGAGGTCTGCTGGGCTCAGGCCTTAGGACACCTCTTCTCTTGTCCCTTCAACAGAGGACAGTCCCACCTGGCACACGGCAATTCAAAGAAGACCCAAAGCAAGAAGAGCTGCAGAACAAGTGACCACCGACAGGGCCCTTCCCCTCCCTGGGCCTCAGTTTCCCTACCTGTGAGTGGCCAGATGAGGTCATTTCAGAAATGTACCAGCTTTTATAGATGCTAAGAAAGAATGACCCGACCGGTGCTTCCCTGCCCTCCCCTCACTGGGCTGAGGGTAGGCAGTAGGCGTTCCTGGCTCCAGATTACGTTCCCAGGGACGCGTCAGCCTCTTGCCTGCCCTCCTGGAGAAGCTGTGCACTGACCAGGCTGGTCTGGAACTAGGAGACAGCAGGAGACCCTGGGCTGGTGGAAGGGTCTGATCACAGTATCCTGGGAGCTCTGGGACAGTTACATGGAAAACTCCCACTGAAATCCAGGGGCCAGTTTTGGAATTCCTAAATGGGCGTTCCTGGCCCTTTCCAAGCTTCCTAAACCAGCAGAGATATCTAGACAGGTGCCACCCACACCTGGGTGCAGAGGTTCCATGTGTCTAAGAGCATCAGGACATGCCTCACTCAGCCATGCTGGGGACAGGGAAGGAGGGCACAGGGGCTGGAAGCAGGAGACCTAGGGGCCCTTGCGCAGGCCACCTGGCCTCTCCAGACTTGTTTTCTCTCTACAAAATGGGCACAGCAGCATTACCCGCGGGACTGCTGAGCGCCGTGTACATAGGAGCGCAGCACGGTGCCCAGGGGAATGCGGGTGTATTCCTCACCCGCTCCTCCCTCCTCAGTGGCCTCAGACACCCCACCTTCCTGGTCCTCAGTCTCTCCATCCCTATCTGGGATCCAGCTCCGATGGCAGGGCTGGACAGAGACATGAGTGGAGAGGAGGCGCCTTTGGTCAGAGCAACTCCCGGCACTACAGGGCTGGCAGAGGCCTGCGTGAGTGTGGAGGTGCCCTGCACACCCTCCCTGGAGGGGCTGCCTGAGGGAGCTCTGGGTCGCCCCTGCCTGCTTCCTGGGTCAACCTTCTGTGACGGGGCACAGACCACAAAGGGAGAATTCAGAGCCTCTGTGGACAGCAGAGAAGCAAGCAAAAGGTGTCCCTCCAGTCCAGACCCAGAGGGGACAGCCCGAGCCAGGCCTTCAAAGAGAGAGCAGCTGCCTTGAGTTCCAGGCCATCCCCGGAGACGTCATCCAGGGACAGCTGCTCCCGGCAACCTCAGCTCAGATGTGTCCTGACTCCAGTGTGGCCTGGCTCCCTCCAAGCAGCAGCCCTTCCTCGAGCTCCCCTGAGGCAGGTGCTGGCTGCTTCTGCATCTTCCACTGGAGGCTCAGTGCCCAGGAAAAGCTCAGAGGGACTGAATTATCGTCAAACGGGGCCCTTGGGGAAATAAAGCAGCAGCTAAAAGCTTGCGTCCAAGTTCAGGATTTGTACTGCTTGGCACAGCCACGACTCTTGGATTCGCTCTGAGTTGGGAGGTGGGGGCAAGCCAAGGCGAGAGGTGGGGCAGCCACACTTGGGATACGGGTGGACGCACAGCACCACTTTCCAAGCCCCCAATTTCCACCTGGGCTCTCTGAGTCATAGCTAGTAGGTCCCACTAATGCAAGGTCTCCTCTCTTCCAGGCCCTGCTGGTGTGAGGTCAACCACCAAGGGGCTGGAGGGAGCTTCGAAGACCCTAGTCCCACTCCTCCTCCCCAGCTCCCTGCAGAGGACAGGACTTGGCTAAAGACCAACACCGGAGGCCCCATCTTGGTGTGGCTGCACAGCAAGAGGGAATGGAGGCTTCTCAGACTCCAAACCCCGCTCGCACACCGCTCCATGCTGCCTCGGGACGGTTGGTGCCAGCTATGTGATGAATGAGCGGTAAAAACATCAGGGAATGAATATTAGAAAGTTATTATAAAGAAGCCTGATTACTACCTGGAGAATCACAAGGCAGACACAAAGAAGAAAATATGGTTCCTGCTTTCCAGAAGTGAGCTCTTTTGTCACCAGACGTCTGGTGGAGTGAGGTAGGGCTGTAGGACTGGGTCGGGAAGCAGTGAGGCGCTCTGCGGGTGCTCAGAGGCATTATAGGCAAGGGCCCCAGGGACCACTAAGAACGTGAAATGCTGCATGGTGTTTCCCCCCTTGAGCCTGCATACTCGCGGAGTCCTGCTCAACACTGGTATTGCCCCAGCCCCTGACCACAGAAGCCCTTTGAAGGTGACACCTTTGAACATCCACCAAACCTATGTTCTGCAGAACATGGATTGGCAAGTGCCGGTGCCATGGTTTAGAATAAACGATGCCAAGAAGGTCCCGCTGGGACACGCTGAATTCTGGAGACACAGAGGCTCCCCGTGCAGGACATGCTCAGCCAGGCCCTGCCACTCCGCGTGGCTGACTCTAGTCCTCTGCCTCCCTGTGCCTCAGTTTCTTCCCTAATGACATAACAATAATCCCAGCTTCTCCAGCCTGCCGGGATGTCAGGGGCGAGGACACAGGATGCGAGTGAACAGGTGCCAGGGGTCGTGGGGAGATGTACAGACAAGAAGCTGTCACTGTGACTCAGGCTCCATGGGCACTTCCAGAGGCTGCCCAACAGCCCGTGGCTGCTAACACGGGTGGGGATGACAGCCTCCTGGGACTGCACGCCTCAGCGCCACAGAACTGTCCCTGGAAAGAGACAGCTTGGCGTCCTGTAAATGGCCAAGCACAGCCTGCACTCTGGGGGACGTCGAAGATGCGAGGGAGAGACGCACAGCGCCAACCACGCTGAGCAAGCCGTGGACATGCAGAAGCCTGGGGGAGCTGCTAACCCGGGTGGGAGGTGGCTCTCCCAGCTTCTCCTTCGCCCAGGGCCTAGAGGGTCCTGAAGCAGTGGGAGGACAGCACACAACCAGGCAGACCTGGGTCCCAGTCCTGGCTCTGTCACTTGGGGGCTGTGGCCTTGGGCCAGATCTCTCCCACCTGCATTTCCTGTAAAATGGAGATAATAGCACCTACCCAGGGGGCTGTCGTGAGGATTAAACAAGATAACATGTGAAGAGTCCAGCACACTGCTGGATGCACAGCAAGCACTCTGTAAGTAGTGGCTATTTTTTGCACACATCTTCCACTCGTTCTGTCAATTGACCTCCCACAACAGGTTAAGCCTCGCTCTCCCCTCTGTAAAGTCCACTTATGGGACCCCGTGGTGACCAGCCACTGTGCAGTACATCTGCGCTTTGCTCCCTCTGGGGGAGCCACATGCTACTAAGAGTCAGTTTTATTTGTTCCCAAGGCTGTTCCTGCCAGTTATACTTGCTTTTGCAATTATACAATTTAATTATTCGTTACATAAACCATTAAAATATGAGTGTGGAAAAAAAAAAGAAAAAGACTTGTATGCATGAAGTTCTCCCTTTCTGGAACTTGCTGAGTGGCTGAGCCCCCAGCCAACTCACCGAATCCCCTTCGCTGCCCCCTGGTCAGTTCCCACCACAGCCTCCTGCCTGTGACAGGCCTGGATTCCCTCCCTCAGAAGCCAAGGCTGCACCCACATTGGGACGGGTCCCTGGCTCTATCCAGACCACTCTCAGAGCTGGCAAAGCATCGTTGGGGTCAGGTAGTACCTGAACAGCTCCTCGGAGGCCTCCCTGAGGCCCAGGTTGGACGTGGGGCCTCCACTTTCACTGGCTGCAGGCAGCAGTAAGGGGTCACCCAGGGAGACGGCCCCGCCGAGTTCAGGATCATCAAACAACTTCAGGGCTGCAGAGAAGGCAGCAGCAGAGTGGTCAGAGGAAGTCCTGGCTCGTCCTCAGCTGCCTGGGGGTGTGGGTGGAGATGGCCTGGTCCAGCCTGCTGGCACAGCCAGGAGAGAGTGAGCGAGGGACAAGGCAGAGCATGGAAGAACCAGAGGAATGGGGCCAGATCGGGGCAAGAAACAGGCGCTCCTTGGGGTCTGGCACCTGTCTGCCCAGCCCCACCCCCCACTTCCCCCATGCTGGGCCACTCTCGGTTTCAAATCCTCACAGCCTTCCCTCTTCTTTTAGGAGGAAACGGCCTCTTCAGCTCACTGCGCCAGGCTCCCCATGACCTGGTGCAGCTGGATCCCTCAGCTTGGCCCCGGGCTGCACCTCGTCTTCCAATAAGCACTTACCGAGTGCCAACCACCGGCCAGGACTGCTGCCTGCTGGGAGGTGATGCTGGGGGGTGACCAGACACTGTTCTGACTACAGTCCCTGCCTACAAGGAGCCTGGGTCTACTTCCGACCCTCTCCTGTCTTGACTGCTCAATGCTGCCCTTCAGGAAAGGTGACCGTGGCCTCTTCAACTGCAATATACTTCTTCAGTAGGTGGGGCAAACCCCGCTGACTTTTCAGGATCCAGCTCCAGCACAGTCCCCACCTGACCCCCACCCCAGGAAGCCTGCCCCGGTGTCCCCACAGGCACTGATATTCTGCTCAGACCTGTTACAGACTCAGGCTACCCTGTAATTGTCAGATGTCTTGTCTCCCATGGGAGGCCCTGAGGCTGGGACTGTCTTACTCATCCCCACGTTCTCGGACCCAGCGCAGAGCCTGGCCCTTGGTGGGTGTTGGCTGAATTAACACGTGACATCAATTCCCCATCCTGGATGAAGACCTGGGTAGGGTAAGGAAAGCGCAGACCCAAGGACAAGCGTAGAAGTCCCAAGGCTGCTGGTTTTCTCTTTTCCATCTCTGCAGAGAACCCTCCAGTGAGTCTAAGCGGGCGACAGAAAATCTCTTACTATAATCCACATCCTAGAGCAGCAGCAGGCCCAGGGCAGGTCAGCACCCACTTCCCACCCAGTGCCCACATCTGGCCGCAGATACAATGAAGGCGCTTTCACACAATCACAATCACACCTCTCTAACGAACAGAGAAAACTACCCTCCCTTCCAAGGGATGATCAGAATAAACACACATCCCCGGAATGTTCCAGGGTGTGGGGACACGAGGTACGAAACTAGACTTCTCCTGTGGAAAATCTCTGTGAGTTGAGTCTGTATCACGCTGAAGCAGGACAAGGGGAAGACATGTGGCAGGTCCAAAGGTGCTCACAGAGGCCGGCCGAGTCACCGAGTAGACACCAAGAGGGATGGGAACACCTGGGTTCTACTCACGGTCTCTGAGGGGCGCAGCCTCTGCGGGGCCTCCTGGGGAGAGCTTCCTGCCCAGGCCGAAAAGCCCCTCATCAGGGTCCACCTCCTCATCAAAGATGGTGAGCCGGGGCGAGGGTTTGGGCTTCACGGCCACTTCGGGGAGTTTCTTGGGTTTCTTGGAGCTGGGGAATCACAGACGAAGGACAAGGTTAAGACTTCTCATGAGAGCCCTGGCGGATGGCCCAGGTGGCCTGTCAGACCCACACAGGTGCTGGGCGGGCTTGAGCTGCGTCCAGAATGAACTTTCCAAGGACCTGGCAACGGAAGGCAGTGAGATCCGGCTACTGGAGCAGCCAAGGCTGTGCCCAGGGAACCACGGCTGTCAAGATGTGCAGGAGGAGCAGGTGGGTGTCTGGACCACACAATCAACCGCCAGACAACTCCCAGCCCTGAAGGGCGGCTCAGGCCTCAGGCCTGCCTGCATGGTCATGGGTCAGAGAACATGCTCTGCTTCCGGAGGCTGCGGGGGCTGCCTGAGCTCAGCACCTCCCTGGGGACAGGTTCAGAGAGTCACACCGCACCACTCAGAAACAGGGGAGGATGCAGTCTGAGGCCACAAACCTCAGGCCTGGCCCCAGGGGAGAGCAGAAGGCAGCCTTGGTAAATGTTCCTTTACTTCCCACACAGCCCCCTGTCCCTTGAGTGATGTAACCTCCATCATTCTAGAAAACACTTCAGTCCCTCTGAGTAAACCCCACCTCCATCAGGAAGCCCCTCTGGCTACACAGAGCCCCAGTCGGCTCTGTCCCCCTTAAGGTCCCCTTCCGTCTCATTTACCGACTGGCCGAGGTCCTGCTCTGGGCAGACACGGCTGAGGGAACAGGGAGAGGGCACGAACGAGGGAAGCTTCTGGGCCACAGAGTATTTTCCCTCCCGCTCCGGGTGGTGGCTACACTGCATGTGGACTTTCAACGAAGCGAACCCTAGGGGTCTGCGCACGTCACCGTCAGTTACATCACCGGTAGGTAAATAAACAAGCAAACGTGGTTTTAGTTTAACAAGGGGATCCAATCCCCGATGCTGATGCCTAATTAGCCATTGAAGCCTCCTGCAAACAATGAGAACCAGCTTTTTACTGGAAATGGGATTTCCGGTTTCCCTGTCTGCCTGGAGGGCAGTTCCACCGGGCCGAGGTCACCAGCTGAGCTCATGCCCGCAACAGTATGTGGCTAAACTGAGCCGAGAGGCTGGCTCTGCCCTAAACCGTGGTGCAGACTAACCGGGAGCAGATAAAAATAGCAGCAGGTGGCCCCGGGTGCTGGAGGGCAGGGCGCTCAGAGCAACCATTCCCATGGGCTGGATTCAGACATCTCTAGAACATTAAGTGCCCAGCTGAGACGGGGAGAAGCTACGAAAGCTGGGAATGCCCTGCTGGGAGGCTGCAGGACGGAGCACACCTCCACGCTTAGGGCCGGAGCCCGGGAGGGAAGATCTCTGTCAGGCTTGTTGGGTAGATGAAGAAACAGTGGTTCAGGGAAGCTGGGTGTCCACTCAAGGCCACACAGTAGACAGGGTGACTAGAAGTGAGGGCAGCCACGCTCATGGTCCTAGTCTCTGGCCCCCTCAAAGTGTCCCATGAACAGGAAGGAGATACAGCACAGGTGGGGACAACAGGCTCTCTCCCCCGTTCTCTGTGAGAAAGCAGCGCATTTTGAAGGCAGAGAGGGAAAGCAGAGACTCAGTAACAGGGGCTGTGCCAGGGAGCCCCATGCACCCATCCCTGCTCCTTCTCTGTCCCAGACACAAGCCAGACGCGCTTACTCATAGGCCACCAGGGACACACCTCTGCTTTGGCGCCAGCCCCAGGCCCTGCCTGTGACACTGGGCAAGGTGAAAGCGGGCCTGGACTTCATTCCAAGAGCATGTGCTTTCTGGAAACTTCAGCGGCAGCTCCTCACATCACTCAGGGACTCAGGGTGGCCTGCTCTTACTCCAACATTTTCCCCCTTTTGTTTGACTGATCAGGCCGAGCCAGTTCAGCTCTCATGACAGCTGGAAGTGAGTGCCAAAGAGAGGCCATGGCCCTGGGGGCAGGCCAGCAGAGACGGCCCCAGCTGAGACCTACTGAGTCAGAACCCTAGGGGTGGGCCGGGAAGCTGTGTTTGAGTACCTGTGGAATCCTACGACCAGTCAGGTTTGGAGCCACTGGACCGGCCCGGGGCCTGCAGGCTCTGCCCACTGCTGCCCCTCAATTACCCTTCACAGCTACTCTTGCTTGGCCCGCTCCTGGAACGGGCAGTGACTGCGGCCGTGAAGGCGGAGCACCCCCGGCCCAGGACGGCAGCTCCCAGGGAGGGCACTGCCCGCAGGTCCACCCGCTCGGGAACCAGCAGGCCCTGACACAGCTCCCGGGGAAGCAAGCTCCCACCCACCCCAGCACACAGGCACCCCGCAAGGGCGAGAGAGGCTTCCCAGGGACCAGGAGGCAGAGCAAGAAGAGAGAAGGGAACCATCTGAGGAACAAAGGAAGCAAGAGTGAGTGAACATGATTGATTATCTCTGGAGAAGCCATCTGAGATTTCAGTAATTCCCCTTCTCGCACCTGCTTCTGTTCTGAGAACGCGAGTCGGGCCTGACCTTCCTGCTATGTGCGTTTTCATCTCAAATTGGATGAAGGTGCTTGTTTTTCTCTCTGGAGACATTTCTGATCTTTTGCTGTCTTGAATTGAAATACTGTGAATGTGGGGCCTGTGGGGCTACTCAGGCAGGCACTGTCTGTAGGCACCCCACTCCGCCCTGGGCTATCCTGCCTCCTCAACTCTCCCTGACCCATCTCCAGGGACAGAAGGAACAAGCAGGACATACAGAGCTTTGATAGCTGAGAGCCCCAGGGTCCTGTCCTGGTTGGCCCCAAAACTTCAGTCTCTGGGACTCAGTCATGTGGCTTGGTCCAGAGCAGACACTCAGCAAATATCAGATGAAAGGATGGATGGATGGTGGAAGGAAGGAAGAGGGGAAAGAAAGGATACCAGACAAACAGACGCACAGACAGGGTGACAGTACATCTCTTATCCAGACTTATTTCTACCTCCTCCCCCAGGGAGGAGGGGAAAGGGAGTGAAGAGAGAGGGGTCCCAGGTTCAGTCTGAGACAGAGACCCCTATTTAGAAAGCCCCTCCACTCCATCACTCCTCCTCCAAAGATCTCTCAGTCCTCTCCGTGGCCTCAGCACCAGCCCCTCGGCCATTCTGTAAGCAGCACATCCATTCGCTCAGTGCTTCGATGACCCAGCACTCATTAAGCACCTCCCACATGCAGGAACCTGTGCTGGGTGACGAGGGCACAGAGATGAGTAAGACTTGCCACTGTCCCCAGAAGCTCACAGCCGAGCAGAGTCACAGCCACATAAATCGATCACGACAACATAAGGCAATAATTCCGTGACAGCCAGAGCACAGATAAAGGAGCCAACGCAGCCGGAGGGCTTCCCAGAGGTGAGCAGCAGAGGTGGGCAGTGACCTCAGTGTGCCAAGGGTGGAGACCCTCATTCTGTGAGGGTCTGCAGGGGGTGGGACCAGGAACCCAGATGACTCTGGATGACATGGAACCCCTCGGCAGGGGCAGTGCTGTGAAGGGGGGGGCAGTGGCCCAGGCCCCCCATGGAAGCTCTGCTCATGGGTCATGGAGAAATGATCAGGGCCTGGGCCAGGGGAGCAGTGGCCATGTGACGGGGAGGCGAGATCAGGGAGGGCATCAGAAGGCAAACGTGCTTATTAATTTGGACTGTTGAGGTGATCAGCAGGCAGAAGGGACATGTCCAGGATGATGCCAGATTTCTGAGTCAGGGACAGGGACAGGCATTTCATATGTGACGTGAGTCACTCAGACTCCAAGCCGTCTCTTCCCCTCCCATAGGTCGTGTGAGCATGGACTCAGGCTGCACACACAGGCGATGGCCCTGACACCCCCGCCATCCCCTCCCCACTCTGTCTCCATCAGCGTCCACCCAGCTGTCTGCAGGACGCACCTCCCAGCTCAGCTGTGCCTGCCCACCAGCCCACCCTTCACACTGACATGATGGAGGCCAGTATGATTAGACTTTTGTCACCAGGGAGGAGCAACTGAGCCTCAAACAGAGATGTCTACAATGAAGAGAACTGAAGCTCCTGACTTCCTGAACATCAGGAGGGGGTTGTCCTCTGAATTTGTGCAGGTTCCAGCACAGCACAGGTTGTATGAGGCAGGTGGGGGGTTCCCTGGAAGGGTGCAGGCATGTGGAAGCGTGTTCCTGTAGTACGCACATGTGTGCACGGACAGACATCAGCTTTCCTGCTGTGTGTGCCTGATAGAAGACAGATGTCCAGACCAGGCCACATTGTGCAGGCGGGTGTGGATGCACATGAGTGAAAGGCAGCAGATGCTGCGGCTGACAGCTCTGACAGGCCAAGAAGCGGCCCTCCGCCATGTGGCTCAGCAGTTCTGGCGACAGTGATTGACACATGAGAGCATCCTCTGCTCCGGCCACCCAGGGGGCCGTGTCAAGTTCCCAGAGATGAACCTGCCCCCTGTAGCAGACCACCGATGGGCACCAACTGTCCGGGACCTGAGTACACTTGAATTCAGGGGTATCTCTTAGACTAAAGAGAAGATGGAGGATCCTTCCAGAACCAGGACTCACAGACAACATGAAGGTAGTTACATTCAAAGCCAGGGTGATGCTCAACCAAGTGTGGAAACCAACTTCCTTTCCAATCACACAACTCTCCTGCTTTCAAAGAAAGGATCTTTCCATTGTTTAATTTTAAATTCAGCTTCTTTTCCCAGTTAGAGAAAATTCTCACAGTGGCAATAAATGAACTTCTGAAATTCATTCCAGGACAATGTTATTTGTGGCAGCACCAGGCAACGGGGCTTCCACGGTGATCTGACCAGAAGAGTAGCGTGAATCACCGAGGAGAGGCGTTCACCCTGTGGGTCTGAGCCAGCCTCACTCCAACGGGAGCTTCGCAAAAGGACTGGACTGAAGGATGAGCAGAGTTGGGAAAGCTGTGCTTCAGGCAGGAGGACAGCCCTGTGATGTCCAGGTGGGAAGAGCTTGGCATATGCAAAGTGCCCAACAGCTGGGCAGCAGATGCATGGGGGGAGGAGGAAGAGGGTCTGAGGGGAAGTCAGGCCACATCCC